TATATATATGTCTTTCTTATCATAAGATTAGGAATTTGGCTGAAAATCCCAACCTTAGACAGGGGCCAAACTTCAATCTATTTATTAGTAGTCACCGGAACATGTATGCGAAGTTATGTGCCGTGATAGTCGCTGTATTGAGATTGTTTTTGGTTTCTCTTTACTCATCACCGCGCGAATTTGTTGATGTCTTTCCCTGGTCTCTGCCTTTATTAAAATCTCGACTCTATATCTAGCTGTAATCTAGTTGCAGGTTGCAGATTTCTGGAATCTAGTACATTCAAGAGATTAAATGAATTGCACTAGACTCTGTAGTAAGACAGAATTTTGGCTGACGTTAATGCACCGATTATTCCTTTCGTCGAAAGGGTGCCCAACTGGTTGTGTGTGTGTTTGTGTGTGTGTGTGTGTGTGTGTGTGTGTGTGTGTGTGTGTGTGTGTGTGTTATATACGTGTGTTTTCTTTGTTATTGTTTGCTTTTCATTGATACAAATCCAATATATCCGTCTGTCTGCTGGTTCGTTGGATCCCCCTTAACTCGGGCGCTGGCCGTAACAGGCAGGATCGACAGCCTATAGCTCCTAAAATTTACATAGGCTAATGTCGATGTGGGTGTAAAACACATGTAATTAAACAACTCCGTGCACTGAAACCTTGCACAAAAGTGCTTTAAAAGAGTGAACTTTCGACAAGAGTGCACACACTGGAGTCTATTTACATTTTCGAACATAATGTAGTCTATTTGACATTCCCTCATCTTATTTCTCGCCCCCTATAGCTATAACAGTTAATCTCTTATTCACATCTGTTTCGTTAAGTTGTCTCTGATGCAGCCATTGAAAAGGCTATGTCGCCTATTGTTAATAGTCATAGGAAAAATCCCTGAGGATTCGCCAGTATCTTATCCATTGTTCTCCTGACATCAGATGTGCAAGCAAGGATCAAATAATTCAATTAACAAAGACTGCTGTTTATTGGTAAATGTATCGAATTATAGCGGACCGATTGCTACAGGGTAAATATTTGTTGATGGTCCACAATCTCCCCAAGCCTCTCATTAACAAATACATGTAGATCTAGATATCCTCTGCAGGGAGATAAGAAAACCTTTTGAATGGGATGCGAGACGGAGGATTTTTCACTAGGCCTATCGCCAGGCACATAAAGATGTTATTAGAATGTTCGGACTTTGGAGAGATCAGAAGGAATTACTTCAAATGTACAGATTTAAAGAATATTGTTCTTCGATCGTTGATCCTAACTATCTGAATTCTCGATTTACAAAGACCATGCCATTGTCATTGGCTTTTTAAAAAAACCCTCAAAGTAACAAATAGTTTCAAGATATATTTTTAAAATGTAAATAGCTGTTTTTTAAAACTAAATTTCTACCATAAAATGTTAAACTTACCAACCATGAAATAAATATATCTAAATCCAAGCCGTGCTCTGAACTGTTGTGAAAACAATCAACTTGTGTTTCACGCGTTCATAAGACTTTTTAAAAAATTATGTAATAATAGATCTAGAGTCTATATAGTAGTTTCGAGCGTCCGTAAAAACTCTGACGAAACTAACCTATGCAATGAATTAGATCTAGACAACTTTACATAAAATTGTGGTTCCATGAAAATGATCTTAAAAACACCACCACCACCACCACCTCACAATTTATACCAACATGCTACCAGTCAGTGCCCGCTCGCCTAGAACAAAATAAATTGTTACAGTTCGGTAGCTGGAATGGTAAAGACTATTACAATCTCTATTTTCGGCTAATTAATGAGGGGAAGCAACTCTGGTTGACCAATTTCCGGAGACTGGAATCCGATTGTCGATAGAGGCTAAATGATTTGCTTCTGAATCTATTCTTTGTTGTATTATTATATCGACCAAACCGGCGAAGCCAAGTTTTGATTGCCTTGGCCTTTGATATTTTATTTCAGAGGTTTTTTCTGCCCATGTTACTTTTCTAGTGCTAACATGGGTGATCACGAAAACCAACTCGTTATTTTGTCTCGCTTGGAGAAAATAAAAGAAATTCGGTGAGTCGAGTCGGGTGGAAGTGGACTTGTTGAGTGGCCTGAATAAATCTCTCTCTCAAAATTGGCTAGACTACTTAGATCTATATCTAGATCTATATTAGATTATTATTAGTGATTAAAAATGTAGGAGAGGGGGGGGGTGCTGGTAGATCTGTAGATCTAAATCTAGATTTAGATTTAGATCTAATCCTTCTGCGTCTTTCATATGGCAATTTTCGTGCGGTTTATTGTCTTTGTGTTTACCGTGTTTCAATTTCAAGCATCAGCGTTCTTAAAATCTTACTGTTCTGAGCATCAACGATCTAGATTTTTTCTAGATCTAGATTCTAGTCTGGATCTAGATCTAGATCTAGATCTAGGAAATCCAAAATGTTACCGAAAACACGTCCTTCCATGCGGGTATCCCAGGAAGTGATGACATCACAGTACTAAAATTAGCAGCCAATCAGAAAAATGCGTCTTTTCTACGTTTAACGGCATATCCCCCCGGTGTGGGCAAGGGGCGAGGATTCCACCATGACATCTCACAGGCCGATAAAACCGCCTAGGCCCTTGGTCACTTGGTGGCATACCGCATTACATCTAGATCTAGATGTAGTTGAAACGAATATATATATGTAATAATGTAAAAACATTTTTCGCCTCTTTAATTAAAAAAAGGCTCACTACCGACACTGAGCAAGATGGGACCGGTAGCTGGCCGGACCCTTCATTGTTTACTCACTTAAACGATGGCTGGCCTCTCAGCACTCATGTTATAAATTATGGTTCAAGGAACAGAGAGCGTACGTAATGAGACAAGAGCACAAGACTGCACTTGCACAACGGTTGAAGGGTTGTAAATTATTCAGACCAAATGGGGCAAACTCGGCTTCAACGAGCTCGGATCCAACAAGAACTCGGATTCAATGAAATGAGATAGATTCTCTAAAATCAATAAAAATAAGCCGGATTCAACGAGCACTTAAATCAGCGAGCTCGGTCTCAATGAGGTCCATTCCATGGTGAAAAGCCCCCGCAGACGTGGTTTCGCTCATTTATCTCCCAGAACGAACTCTATCTCTTCCCGGAAGCCATCCATTGCTGCTGCACCTGCATTGTGAACCATTATTCACTTAACCGATTGCACGCGACCAATCAGCGGCTATTTTTCATACCAAAACATGCGTTGTTGGCACGCGCACATGTCCACTCTGGCGTGTGTCGGGGGTGGCCTGCACACATGTGGCTGTGTGTGTGCGTGTCGGGGATGGGGGGGGGGGGGGGGGGGCACTTTCGGTCCGGGCGTTGAACGTCGCAGATATAAAAGCGTCAGTCTTTTTTTCCCCTCGGCAACTGGTCATTATTATCAATGATCAGCTAGTCTTGACGTAGATCTACGTAATGAATTGTGCTCGTGTTTGCTATAACGAACACTCAGATTCAACGAGATTTTTGGTCAGGCCCGGCGACCTCGTTGAATCCGAGTTCCACTGTACTCTACTGTAGGCCTACTGTACTGTGACTGTGTATTGCACTGTCTCTAATTGTGTAGAAGTACTGAACTGTAGTTAGATATCTAGTCCTGTACTCTCTGTTTTTATTGTACAATGGAGTCCACTTATAACGAGTCTTGAAGTAACGAGAAGTCTGTTATAAAGACATTATTCGAAAACCCCGTTTTTTTTTCCTTCTTTATCTTTGTTAATAAAATACTGCTATAGTGCAATCAAACGAACGCACGAATCGGTTATAGCGGAATATTGACCATCTATACAGTATACACGATAAAAACCTCGCCAGTTGAGAAACTTGTTGGTCATCTAGCGAAACAAAGAATGGAACAGCTCATGTGTGCCAACGATGAAGGCCGAAGCGAATGAGTGGGGAGGGTGTGGCACGCGCAGACAAGCCGTTGTGAAGCAGAACACATTACCTGATACATGTCGTGATAGGCCAGCCTAGTCCAGATTATCTGGGCCTATCATGCCTCTCACTTCTCCGATACGGGGATGGAGAGATCACAGTGTTGTGATGGTGATGGATCATGGAGCGAATGTGTGATGTGCGCAAGCAGAATCGGGAACGCACCACAGGGTGTGGTGGGGTGGGGTAAACACAGCGGGCGAGTTAGCCTAGAGAACTTTCGTTCTGATAGCCAGCGCCGAGCTGTCAAAATTGCTAACGCTAGAGAAAGAAACCTGATTCAATTTTTGATCAACCAAGACCTAGAAGTCATGTTGAACAAAGCCATCATTAGAGGAGATTACAAAAAGAAATAAAAAGAACACTAAACTCATAGATTAGGCCTACTTTATTATTTCCTTTGAATTTATTACTGGATCCCTTACAACGAGAATCCTGCTATAACTGACATTTCGTACCGGTCCCCTCCCTCTCGTTATAACAGGATTCCAGTGTAGTTAAGTCGGCATTCTCCAGTTTTTGCCTCAAGAGTGACAAGTGCGCTGGATATATCGATACTACTGACTTAAAAACTCGGTTGTATTGATGTTATAACTGAAAGAGAGTGCAGCAAGAGATATGCAGCAGTAGCCTAAATATTTCACTTGTTGTTAACAGGAGGGGTTTCACTGTTCAGGGGACTCGCCCCTCTGACCGAATAAAAATATGGGGGGTTTCAGGGGGGGCATGTCCCCTGAATTCAGCCTTGATTTGATGTGGTTTGCAATTAGGTTTGATATCTCTCGCTCGCCGCTCATCTATCATCATATGGCATGCGTGGGGAAAAGTAATCATTTAGGAGCAGAAATTGGATGGTGAAGCCAAAACCCACACTCTCTCTCTCTCTACAGTTATCGTTTGGGCCAAAACTGGATACAGTGGAATCCTGTTAAAACGAGAGGGAGGGGACCGAAGCAAAATGTCCGTTATAGCAGGATTCTCGCTATAAGGGATCCAGTAACAAATTCAAGGGAAACTGTAAAGTAGGCCTAATCTATGAGTTTGGTGTTCTGTTTTTTCCTTTTGCTATCTCCCCTGATGATGATTTTGTTTCAACATGACCTCTAGGTCTTACTTGATCAAAAATCGAATCAGGTTTGTTTCTCTAGCGCTAGATCTAGCGATGTGGACTGACAGCTCGGCGTTGGCGATCAGAAAGAAAGGGCTCTGGGCTAACTCGCCTGCTGTGTTTTCCCCCCACCCCACCCCACCCTGTGGTGCCTTCTGTCTGCTTGCGCACGTCACACATTCGCTCCATCCATCACATTGCTGTGACCTCTCACCTCTCCATCCCGGCATCGGAGAAGTGAGAGGCATGGCATGCCTTGATAATCTAAACTGGCGTATCACGCAATGCGTTCTGCTTGTCTTTGCATGCCGCACCCTCCCTACTCAGTTGCTCCGGCCTTCATTGTTGACGCACATGGGCTCTCCTCTTCTTTGTTTCGCAAGATCAGCTATAAGTTTCTCAACTGGCGAGGTCTTGCATTATGTATACTTGGCCTATGCCATGTGCACAGCAGCAGCAATATTCCGTCTTAACCGGCTCGCAAGTCAGTATTTTGTTTACAAAGGTAAAGAGGAGAAAAAAAACAGGGTTTTAGAATAGTGCCTTTATTACAGACTTCTAGTTTTTTCCGGACTCGTTATAAGTGGACTCCCCTGTATTATACTTTTTAGTCTTCTACTGCAACTGATGGTAGTATCTCAACTGTAACTCTAACTGTGTGACAGAAATTTCGTGTCTTCTGGATAAGCCTTGGTAAATTTTACTTTCACTCCTCTGCACACAGATGCCCTGCTTTGGGGGTTAACTCAATCACAACGCCGAGCCGTTGGGGGCGGTGCGGCTAAAGTTAAAGTGCCGCCAGTACGCTAAGCCGCCCCTGGCGGCTCGAGTACCGATCTTCATTTTTAGCTTAGATTCAATCCATGTTAAAATAAAGGTCATAATATAATTTTGACTTCCGGGTCAAACGTTTTCTGGAGCGAAAATCGGAAGTTTTGATTTAGTTTTGAAACACTTTCAAAGTTTATGCGACTTTGTTTTATCGCGATGCTCAAATTATAGCCCAGACCCCAGTCTTACTACTTTTACACAACAAAATATATTATTATTTTGCACACTAAAGAAATGTAGGACTATTCTTTAGAATATTGATACAATTGGGCTCAAATTGCCATTGCTCTGTTATTGAGAAATCAATATTTTTCAGTGCTAGATCTAGATCTAAATTGTCAAATTATTTTAATATTTCTCCCAAAAATCACTCTTTTTTGTGAAATTACACAAAAAGTACCACTCACGACATGTTTAGGTTTATTCCAAATGCAATTCTGAATAATTCTGTATACGATACGAGTGTTTTTTTCTGTTTGTGAATGCATTTTGTCCATTTTTCAAGATTATAAAATTTTTGGGTTTTTTTTTCAATATCGGATGTCATGATCCAAATGTGCAAATTTTATGGAATGTATATAAATAACTGCAAAATTTTCAATATTTTCCAGTTCTATATTCATTTATGATTATTTTGATGTATAATTTGACTAGAATCTAGGTGCAAACATATTTTTTGAGTTTCACCGAAGATGATTAATTTTTTATTTTCAAATTTTATCCGCATCCAAGCAAAATTATGTTTCGTGATCGCCTCTTACAGGAACCAAAGTTGAAAAATGCACAAATAAACATTACAGATGTATTCTACAAATCATACTGAAAATTTTGGTGCATAATATGTTAATATTTATTTGAATTTGAGGCCCCAAAGACCTTTGAACTGCACACTAGTCATCATCTCATTTCGCCTTCCTGAGTGGGGGGGCAGGCCTCTAGACCTTTAGATCTGGTCTGAATCATGAATCTAGGATTATAATTAATTAAATTTACTTCACATAACAGTCACTCTGTCCAAATTATTGATCTGTCTGTATATTTTGAGGTTTTAGATTATCATCATAAACTGCTCTTCTAGAAATCTTAGTTTGAATCTGAGGTTACGTTACTTAACTTTTTTTCAAAGTGGGCTTAATTGAGATACTTCTATGCTTGGATCGAAAACTGAATGGATATTCACCATATGCTCCCTCCCCCCCCCCTCCTCCTCTCTTATCCTCAATAATTATTGTACGTTTTTGTGGAAAGTTTACAATAATAATTAGATACAATAATTAGGTTTCACTTTTTCCAGTTTCATTTATAACTTGCTCAACCCTAGGCCTACACTTCCAGGTTGTCAGCTCTCCTTAGAGATTTTTACCACTTTTTGAAAAATTGAAAAAAAAAATTTAACACATCGCGACCTCAGTGCTTTCTTGTCCTATCTCCATTTTTAATTAAAGTGAAAACAGTTCATACCAAAGAGTGAGCTTAAGAAGAAGTTACATTTTCAATGTTTACAAAAATGGAGATAGGACAAGAAAGCACCGAGGTCGCGATATCCTACCCAAATTTGGTACACATTTTATTAACCTTTATTTGTGTGTGTTGAAAATTTGAAGGCAAAATAAAAATATTTCATAGTTTTTATGCAATACTCGATGGAAAAAGGTCTATATTAATGTATATACAGAGTCAAAAAGTAAACAAAAAGCAAAGAAAGTAAGTGTGTTCAAATTTCGCACCCCCTCACATGGTTCACAAATATATATCTTTTCTTTGTTCTAAATTTGGGCTTGCACTTCTGGTCATAGTCTGTTTCAAACAAAAAATGGTTACTCTTCTAATTAGGCTATAGTCTTGAGTCAGATGCTTCTCAAAATAAATAAATGAAATAAACTGGCATTTTTTTACTGGTTTGGCAATTTATATTGAATTTTTATTTTTAGCTAAATTCGTTTTTTGTTCTTTTAAGAACATATGTGAGGCAGCGTTGTGGAATCTGGCTCTCGTCAATTTTTGGGCATGGAGAGTTTTTGGTATCATCTTAAAGCTTGTTCACTTGTCTTTATTTGAATGAAAAAAATATCCTTTTATCTTGAATACAAGATATTTGCGAAAGAAGGAGGTGGGGGTCACTTGTTCTCAGAGGTAAAATTAATGAGAAAATGGCTGCCAAAGATTAGTTATTTCCTTAGTTAAGAGTCTGTGGTAACTGAAAATTTACATTTTTTGTGCCTTTGATCAACGTTTTTCAGAAAAATCCGCTCAGAAATGAGTTCTTTAATGGGCATGAAAGGTGTTGAGCCAAAAAAAAAAAATGATAAAAATTCACAAACCTGCGGAAAAATGCAAGTTTCTTCATTTTGATTATTTTAACGAGAGCCTGATTCCACCTTGCTGCCTCACATATATATATTTCTGTGAGGATCTTACTGAAAAACATTGATTAATAAAGGCACAAAAAGTCCAAGTTTTCTGTTTTCGAGGACTCTTAAGCTCTAGAAATCATCAAACTTTGGTGGCCATTTTCTCATTAACTTTATTTCCAAAACCAGGCAACCCTCACCTCCTCCAATCATAATCATCTTGACTTCTATTCAGGATAGATGGGTACTTTTTTCATCGAAATCAAGACAATTTATGAATAAACTTTAAAATGGTACCAATAACTCCACAGGCCCAAAAATTGACGAGCGCCTGGTTCCTCCGTGTTGTGACACATTTTATTTGTATTGTTTCTGGCATGTCCAAACGCTATGAAATCAAAGACCTCTATATAATACCTTGATTGGGAGTTTCCTTGACCCTTTCTGATGGGTGGCTTGGCACCACCACCCCCTCCCTGCACCAGCCCATGCCATTGAAGACAACCAACCAATTCATTTATCAATCAAACCTAGTCTGTTTTTTTTTTAATCTATAAAAGCATTCATGTTTAATGGGTTTGTTTGAATTTTTTTTTTCTTCAGACAAAAAACGGTGTCATTAGAAAAACTGAGATCAAGGCTGCGCCATGAAATTGAAGTCACTGAAGCTGAAGAGAAATGTTTAGAAGATTACAAACGAGAAATGGAACTTCTTCTGCAAGAGAAAATGGCCCATGTGGAAGAATTAAGGTTGATTCATGCTGACATTAATTTGGTGAGTGTACACAATTTTTATAAGCTTGCATTGTTTTAGAGGGTAAAGTACAGTAAAGATTTTTCCTTGTTTCTTCTGGTCCAGTCTTGCACTTACTTTTTGGCATAGTTTTATGTGTAAATATCAAGAGTTTTTATTTGTGGATTTAAGAAAATTTTTTTTTGGGGGTAACCTTAAGACTATAAATAAGATAATTCATCTGTAATATATCAAGCACAGGTGTCTTAATTAACATTTTTATATGGTATAATCAGCTATGATAATGCTAGTCGATGCACATATTTTTTATAAAATTGTAATGGTTTTGTTTTATTCTTTAGTTACAAGTTTTTACTAAGATGCACACACATATATATATAAAAAAAATTTCACTACCAACTCATGCAGCATACACCAATTCAAAGCTAAGTTAATTCTGCATTATCTGACACATAATTCATCTATGTTGAGAGTCTCCCAAGATATGATCACTCAAAATTGACCGTAAAAAAAAAAATTAGACTTGGGAAAATTGTGTGAAATCAAAGAAACGTGTTGCGCGTGTATTTGGGTGCATCAACATTCGTGGAAAGGACATGTAATGAATACCATATGACTCAAGATTATTATTGTCTGTGCAATAAACAGCATCTTCTGATGATATGTTCAAACAAATTGAAAAACAGCAGTCACAAATACCACACAAAGCCTTGACTTAACCATTACATGGTCATGGGCTCATTAGAATTTTGTTTAGGAGCCATTGGTTTTGCGTAGACCACAAAACCTTTTTTTTGGACATGGACTGTCTTGGTTAGATCTTGGACGTAATCATCGTCAATGAGGAACAGAGGCCTCGAAAGTGCCATGGTTTGGGGTGGTCTGGCGTGGAATGAACAAAACCACCCTCATGGGACTCACTAGATGGCTTGGTATAGTGAACTACGAGGGCTGTCCCATGGAAAACCGAAAAAGGGCCATTAAAGCAACAAGCTTTGTCCTATTATAATATATTTCTATAGGTTTGAGACCTTTTGCGGTCAGAAACCGAATAACAGACCTCACTTTTACCCTTGACCAATTTTCCAAGGGGGTAGCCATCTTTGTAGAACTGCTGTGTTCGTTTGGTTTGTGCGATGCTCATGGTGCTCAATCGGGAAATTCTTATATGATTGTTTTACAAGTGTGCGTTTACAGAATGTGAAAATATTGAATAGTTTTCAAATTACAGTAGTCTCCGCCATAGATCCCACCGCTTACGATCCCGGTTCTCTTAAGATCCCGCTGTTTTAAGAAAACAGAATTTTTACTATACAAAAGTCACCCCTAAGATCCCGCTCTGATTCACTCTGAAGGTCTACATTCGGCTAAGATCCCGCATTTCAGATCATAATTTTCGGAACAAAAACCCGGGCGGGCACAGCCGATCAACCAAGAGTGAAAAGTTGAGATCAATAAACTGTCCGTTGCGTCAAAGATCAGCCACTATCGTGAATGTGATCACATACACATTGTAAAACTCTATGAAGCGATGCAATGTTTGCCCCAAACGGGATCACACCAAGGTGTGAACTGACCGATACATTTGTTTTCCCCAAGCATTGCACTCACACCTAAGCTCTCCCCCTAATCATACGTCACTCGCTGGGTGGGCAGGGCCTACACGTTTGCTCCAGGTGGGTTCACATCGAACTGTGAACTCTTCCCTGACCATTGCTGCAGTTGTCTCTACTCCCGAATTTGCGAGACCAACTTAATTTTAATTGGTGGGTTCACAACATTTTTTTTTTTTTTGGGGAAGCTATAAATTTTCGACTGGTAAAGGGGAGGGGGCAACTGGATAAGTGTAGATCTTGAGACTCATGTTACTAATGATAGGATAATAAGTGAAAATGGCACGCCTCATGCCACTATGCACTGTGATAGGCCATCAAGGTTATCCACTCTTTGCTCGCCATATATGCCATAAACCCACCAAGGGGCCACGTCAATTCATTTTAGAGTGGAGGGAGACCATTTTAACGATTGTGAGCTTTAACATGGGTCACCATAGATTCTTCCCTGGGTTCGTCGGTTAAGATCCCGGTTCGCCTAAGATCCCACATTTCCTTGCTCCCGAGCACCGGGATCTTAGGCGGAGACTACTGTACAGCCAAATTCCGGTTTTCCGTGGGACAGCCGTCGTACATCACACGAGTGCTGAAACGTCATGTCTTACCCTTATTTTCGTCATTGTGTGTCATTCAAAGAGATATCTCCATGTGTGACATGTCGACAAAGCACTTTCTCATAGGGCCAGTGCCACAAGACAATTCTTGTAAAATGAAAAAATACAAATTTATGAGTTGTCACTCGTAAAATAGTTAAATAGCCACAATATGAATCCTACAGGTATTGTATGTGGTGAAGCCCTATGAAAGAAACAGCAGTGGAAGAAAATCAACCTTGCTCCCACTTCAGATCCTTTGTTTGCAACTCTTTTGAGAGGAACTGACAGAAAATGATGTCCAAAATTTAATAGAGTGTACGCCCAGAGGGCTTGTGCTCTTCTCAAATCCAATGACTCCAAAACAAAATAATAATGAGCACATTTAATGTTAAGTCCGAGTTTTGCATGGTATTTGTGACTGATCTGTTTTCTGATATGTTTAAAAAAAGCATTGTAATAAAATATTGTTTATTGCAGAGACAAAATTTTCCATTAATTTGAAGTGCAATTTGTGCCCATTCTATCGAATTGATGCACCTCAATAAATGCACGAACACACTTATATGTTTCTTTGATTTCGCATAATTTTTGCCAACACTGTTTTTTTTAAGGTCTGTTTTGAGTGACCGTATCTCGGGCAACTCTTAACATAGATAACATATTAACGTGTCCGATGATGCATAATATATCTAGCTTTAGATTGGTATGCTGCATGAATGAGTAGTACTAGGCTTTAACGTGATGATTTGGTGATTACATTTTGAAATTTCTTTTGGATGTGATATATAAAATGACATTATGTTTCTTGAATTTTGAAGGCAAGAGGCATCACCTTTTTAAAAGATTCATGCAGATTTTACAGAATGTTGTTGGTCCTGCTTAAACTATTACTGATTTCAGTCAAAGTGAGTGAAAATTATTGTAATATTTAAACCTCTCACTTTGGATATTTATATGTTTCTTTTTTGTCTTCATTTGAAAAGATGGAAACGACAATCAAACAAGCTGAAGAGGAGAAAGTAAAGGCTTATGAAAATGCAAAAAGACTGTATGATGAATGCCGTCCATTGAAAGAAGAAGTTGATCTCTTGCGTATGAGGGCTGGTCTGGAAGTTCAACATGAGATGCCAGAAGAAACAGAAAAAATGAGACCGGAGTAAGTCTATGTTAGGCCACCCTTTGCCCTGTGTTTATCACTGCCTTTTCCACCCCTAGTCTCGCAGTGAGGTTGAAAATGTGTTCACTAAAAATAAAAAATGCAATGCAATAAAAATTCACGAACGGTCACAATAAAGTTGAAACGTGAGTAACTAGAAACATTCATT